ATAAATAATTGAAACTGTCTGAGAAAAATATACAAGATTCAAAGAAAACATATTCATTGAGACATATATCACAATATTTAAATAAAAAATTAAAGTTATGTTTATTTAATTATTTATATATTATAATTAATCAGATATACCTATAAGTTTTGTTAAGATAAGGCCCAAATGGGATAACAGCATAGGATTATTAGTATACAGTCAAATTGGTAATATCGTGTGGCCGTGTGGGTATTTATTTTTCCCCGAAATTCCGATGACAACGATATCCAATAAAAATAAATTTATAACCAAGGCTCGGAAGTTCTAGCAAATGCGTATTATTCTTGGTTCATCCTAGAACATTCAAAGTAAGATACAAATATGTTTCGCACTATTCGAATATCAAAATATTATTTAATATTCAATATATTAATAACAATATTTATATTTAATAACAATCACAGAATTTAATTTTGCTATTTTTAGTATATTTACGGATTTTATTGCTTTTTTGCTGATTTAGGATTTATAGTTCTTTTTGGATATATTTTCATATAATACAGGCAATAATTACATATTTTTGACAATAATGGTATTTACTTGGTTATATTTTTAAAAATATTTAAATTATTAGAAATAAGTAGACCTCATTAAATATTATTTTATGTTTTCATCGACAATTTGATTTATTAGTAATTAGTGACGTAGTTGTTATTCACTTATTGTATTATTGCATTAGATTATCAAACATTTTAATAATCAAGAGTAATTTTCAATTTTATATAAAATAATTTAATTATAAGTACACTTTTACAAATTTATTTAATTTATTTAACATTTTTCTTAACAGTTTATAATTACACCAGTCCAGATGTCTATGAGCCTAAACATTTGTAAAATTACATTTAATTTTTTTTCTAATAAATTTATAATTTATTCAAGTTAAATGCATATTTTTGATTTTTCGTGCTACTTATTGCACATATTTTTAGAGTTTTTAAGTGCATATTTAAGAGCTAAAGAATACAATTCATAGTACTACAACTTCCGAGCCCGGTTAATAACCATTTTTGATTGATATAATATGAGTATATGACCCATAGTCGACTGTATATATTTTTAACGTGGCAACGCGGGCTCAGGGCGGACTATACGAACGTGTTAAATATAGTATTATTAAAAACTATTTTCTGTACAGTTGTTTTTATTTATAATGACTATAAATTATAACGAATCAAAATAGGTATACTATAACAACAATATAAAAATATTAACAAAATGCACACATTATTATACAATTGTTTTTCGTAAATATAAAGTAATTCATTTTCCAATTGTTTTTCAAACTTTGATGTTTTTTAATCAAACACTAAAGAATTTGCCACCCTCAAATTTTATCACCCTAGGCAGCTGTCTACAAACCTAACCTGCCTACAGTGCCTAATGAGAAATCCGCCTTTTCCAACGATTTTTCATATTATACTAAGTAAAAAGTTACTTGTTGGTATTGCAATAGAAGTAAAATATTCAGAATTTCATTCACCCTTAAATGGGATTTATAGTTAAGAGAGATACATCGTATCTAAGTATGTTTAAAAAAACGGTGCGTGAGCTCACACAAAAATTATGTCAAAATATTTCCCATTATTACAAACATGATATGTAAACAAATCGGGCATGAAATGTATTAAAATTGGTAAAATATATTTTGTAATGTGGAAGAAATAATTATTTCAATAAAAGAAATTGCGATTTCTATGCTCCCAAATGAACGATTTCTTTTAAGGCGTGTATAGTTATGAACAAAATATTAGGTTTATTAAATGTTTGTAGTATAAAAGTTTGTATAAAAGAGTAATAAGAGTAAAAAGTTGTAAGAAATTCAGACGATTTAAAAAAAAAAAGATTTATACACGGATAAATAATTTTTGAATATAAAAACTTATGCTTAAGTACAATGATACATTTATGAGTATTAAATAAAATATTTTTGTGAAAAAGTATTTTTTTCATATGGGTATACTGTATTTTTAAAAAATTAAATTTAGATTTATTATTTATTAATACACTAATAAGGACTAATAACAGGTACCGTAATTACATACCAATTTGGATTACATTATGTACACATAGTATGATTTTACATTGTTTACATAATTATATGAATTGCATACGGCACTTGATACATTAACTTTCGAATATTAGTTAACCGATCGCAAATCATATGGAAAAATGATAAGGAGTCACGGTGGATTATTAAATTGTGTTAGTAAAAGCATACGTTAAAAATACGTGTACGTTTATTGAAAGAGATAATATGCTATAGTAATATGCTATTATAGTTATGAGATCCGTTGCCAGTCATACCCATATAATAGAGCAAAAATTTTTATCTTAAAACATCATCATTATAGATTATATATCAAGTTATGTGTAAAATACTTAATCTAAATTATTCCTATAAAATATTAATACTACAATGTACAAAATACCTAATTAATTTCTATTTTCTGAATGGTTGACATTCGTATTTAATACGAATCAAAAAATTAAATTAACAAAATCCATTTAAATCTAATCGACGATAGTGTAATGACACTATTAAGAAATTGCTCTTAAAGAATACTAATATTAGGCATACTCGTCTTTTTGATAGTTTACCGATGAGAATGTTTTATATACAAGCCCAGCTCAAATTTATAATCACACATAGGTAAACTTAAGTTTTTCCGCCCCTTTCATATCAATTCTACATCAATTATTTTTTTTTTTTTTTTACTATACATTAGCAATACTAAAATAATTCTAAATTCATTATATTTATTTATATAAAGTTAACAATTGATTAGATCAATAAATTTATAGACAAGTAAACGAATTATTTATACGAAGTACTAATTTAAATAAAACAAAACAATTTATTAAATTGATTTGATATGAGTGGGTATTAGGAATTATCTTTTTTTTTTTAAAAATTATTTATAGTGCAAAAATTTTAAATACTGTCTCCTAGACGTGGCCCTATGTCGCCTATCCCTTGAGTCGGGCCCGACTATATATATATTATTTTAAATGAAGATAATCCGTTTTATATAGGTACCTACTGTTACGAGTTAACTAACGTATTTATCATGATCGGTTTACATAATAATATTGTAAAGAGAAAAAAAAATTAATGATTCCGTAATATTATTTTACATGTAAATATTTTTGTTTTTAAATGTACATCCAAATAGATTAAAATCAATCGATTCCCCTTACGACAGGACATACTATCATAGCGAATTCACCAAATTCGATTAATAATGTTCAAGTGCAATATCGACAGTTTGATGTAAGTTTTTTTCCGTTGGCACGAATGTTTCATAGTAATATAATAATATTTTGTAATATTACATTTGCAAAACTGAAGAAGTACACGGCAAACGCGCATTGTAACAATAGGTTAATACAATGATATTGGTGTATAATATACACTTACGGATTATAGACTTTTCTAAGAAAAATCAACTTGATCTAACGATAAACTATACTTAATAACTACATAATATGTTCGCTTTGTTTTCGCTATAATATAAAAACAATAAAATTATATATCAAGACACATTCGTACACGCGTATACACTGCAATAATCTGCACATTTCATATAGGTATTACGCGTGTAAGTGTGTATACCGGTAGATAATAATAATGATAATAATAATATGTGATTCGACATCGTCGGCGGTCCGTACGCAAAAACGAATCAAACTACATAAAACAATATATATTCATAATATAACTATTATAATTTATGCATATTACTTAATAGCGTATACCTGAGTACATGGTATTACTATCGTCCATACGGCGGCGACGGATTTTTATACCTATGAACGTGTATCATCATCAGCTCTTCTCGCACAATATATACTATATTGGTACGTACTATTTGCGGTGACATTGACGGTGAGTTGTGTACGTTCTAGTGTTTTCATAAAAGCACGATTTTTTTTTTCATGTATAATTATATATAATATCGAATTAATTTATTTTTCCTTAAAATCGTACACACACATATATATATATATATATATATATATATATATATATATATATATATGTATATATATGTATATATATGTATATATATATATAATACAATACACATAATAAACATTATCCTCGCATATACATAGGATGCGACTGTCGGCGACGATGACGCGAGTCAAATAAATATTACAGAATAATAATAGTAATAATAATAATAATAATAATAAGAAGAAGAATAATAATATAAACGTGTAACATATTATTTTAATGTACGTATAAATATACATTTGATGAAAAAAAAAAAATATATATATTGAATACAACAATTAATAATAAATTCCTGTGCGTACGCGTATAAATAATATATAATACGAGTGGTGGCGGCAATGGCAACGTCGTTAAAACCCGACCGACGAAGCTGTCGCCACGCGCGCAACACGACGATGAAAAAATATATATGATATAAACTTGAAAAGAAAAAAAATTTGTTTCAACGAACATTTCGTTACGTCCGACGGACTACCGTGTAAACGAAAAACACTAGTCCGATGTGATTACACGACTACAGGCGCAGACGTTACGGGGTTACAAACATAAATAATAATAAATCAACATGGATTACACATTTATACATAAATATATCGAAAATATATATAAATACATAATACACTTAAGAACGGGAGAAAAAAAACTACTTGGACAACAATTTCACATCGCATCGCATATACACATATATATGTCGGTATATATTTAAAATTGTATATAATCGTATATACACAAAAAAAAAAAAAGTCGTTTTATATTAATAATTGTTAACGCGTACACACTATGGTTTATGAATTATAAATCACTATCAATTATGAACTGTACACACACACGTTTAGTTTTAATTTTAAAAACGAATATTACGATGATTTTAAACATATAAGTACATTAGATATAGAATATATTAAGTTTATAGAAGGTACTCGAGAGATTACTTGAAATAATAATAAAAATAATAATAATAAAAATAATAATAATAATAAAACATAAAAACATAAAAATTATATATACTCTTTATAGTTTATACGTATTGTTGGGCACCGCGTGTTCAATACGACTGAAAACGTAAATAAAAAAATCAAAAATATCATAACTACCACCGCTTCTTGCTGCTGCTGCTGCTCTACTTTTTTATTTCTACTGCTGGCCCACCGACAACCACGTCGTTTTCACGCGAGCGGAGGATACTGGTGCTGGTGGTGATGCTGCAGCTGTTGATGGTGATGTCACAAGGGTGACGATGAGCCGGTGGCGGCTGCCGCGGCCGACGTGGACGACGAAGATGATTGCGGTCCACCGGAGGCTGCTGCTGCTGCGGCCGCGGCCGCGGCAGCCGCTGCGGCTGCATGGTACAGAGACGCCTGTTGGTGGTGCGGATGTGGGTGCCCATGGTGGTGTGGGTGGTGCGGGTGCGCATGTGGATGGTAGTAATCGTTATATCCAGCGGTGGTGCCGTATTGCGAAGCAGCAGCCATCTCATACATTTTCTCGGCGGCAGACGCAGCGGTCGCCGACGAGGCGGAGGCCGCGACGGCCGATGACGGTTTCTCAGCAGCCGAAGCGGTGACTGTAGGCGGCGGCGGCAACAGCCGCGTTATGGAAAACGGATGGTTGGACGCAGCGAACTCGGCTGCGGCTGCGGCCGCGGCGGCCGCTGCTGCAGAAGACTTAAGGTGTTGTTGCAGCTGAAGTTGCTGGTGATGGCTATGGTGCTGCTGTTGTTGTTGCTGGTGTTGCTGCTGCTGCTGCTGATGATTGTGGTGAGCGGCAGCCGCGGCCGCAGCGTAAATGTCCACCGGACTATGTTGTTGCTGATGATGTTGTTGTTGCTGATGATGGTGCTGCTGCTGCTGGTGCTGCTGTTGTTGGTGTTGGTGTTGCTGCAACAACGAACCAACTAACATGGACGACGACGAGTCGTCATCGCCACCGCCACCGTGCTGTTGTAAATGATGGTGCATGTGGTGCACGTGATCATGATCGCTGTCGTGATGATTTACGTTGTTATGGCTATTTTGGTGGTCATGAGTATGATGGTGATGCAACAACAAATGGTGTTTGTTATGCTGCTGCTGTTGTTGATGCTGTTGGTGCTGGTGATGCATACTACCGCCGAAACCCAAATCGACCGCCGCGGACGACGACATAAGCCCACCACTGGTAGCACCCAGTTTTTGATTATGGTGATGTTGCAGTTGCAGCAAGTGATGGTGGTGATCCGCAGCAGCGGCGAGTACCGACGACGACGACGCAGACGATGGCGGCACGGACGACGATGGTTTTTTGTCCAATACCATGTCCAAATGGTGTTGTTGATGGTGGTGGCCGCCACCAAGTTGATGTTGACCACCGAGCTGAAGTTGGCTACCACCGCCTCCACTGGACCCGTGTAACATGGGCGACGAACTCTTGGAATGATTGTGGCCGCCGTGATGTTGATGGTGGTGACCACCGCCTTCACCGTGTTGTCGGATAGACGCCGCGTCTTTTTTGTCGTCTTTGAAACGCTTTTGTCGCCGCAAGTAGCAACCGTTTTCGAACATGTTACCCGAGTCCGGATGCAAAGTCCAAAACGATCCCTTGCCCGGCTTGTCGGGCGTGCGAGGTACTTTAACGAAACAATCGTTAAACGATAACGAGTGTCGTATAGAGTTTTGCCACCGTTGTTGGTTTTGCCGGTAAAACGGAAACAGATCCATGATGAACTGGTAAATTTCGGAAAGTGTGAGCATTTTCACCGGCGAGTTTTGTATGGCCATCGTGATCAGCGATATGTACGAGTACGGCGGCTTGGCATGCGTGTAGTTGCGGCGGTACGTTTTGTCCGCGCGAACCCGTTGTAGCGCGGCCGCGTTGGCGGCACCAGTGGGATCACCACCAGCACCAGCGGCCGCAGCCGCGGCGGCCACGGCAGCGGCCGACGCATTCAGACCGTACATGGCCGCTGCCGCAGAATTCATGCCGTCGTACAGCTGCTGTTGCATGTTGGCCGCGGCGGAAGCGCTGCTGCCGAACACGAGCTGCTGTTGCTGCTGTTGTTGCTGCTGCTGTTGCTGTTGCTGCTGATGGTGCGACTGTGGTGGCGGCGAACACAGCGAAGGCATCGATGACACCATCGCCTTCACGGCCGGGAACGTGTGAACGTTACGCGCGTATACGTGAGCGTGCGGATGGTGCGTGTACGGAACCGTTCGGTAGAGGCAGATCGCGGCGCACTACTGCCGTCGTTTAACCGACCTAGCGAGAGTGAGGTGCCCCGCCGCCGCGGGCTCCGTTCACGGTCCCGGTCGGCGAACACACGCGGTGTTACGCACGCACAAGTGCGCGTCGGCGCGCGCATAACGCGTACATACGCACACACCCACCGTGCTCGTACGGTCGTACACGTTGGCGGTGGGGCGCGAAAGGAGGTGGACCCGGTTGACGGTCGTAAGCGTACTTGGTACGTGCGTGTGCGTTGGTGCGTATGTGCGCGCGCACCCGCTCACCGGCGCTAGTGTGTGTCGACGCGAGCGTGTGTGCCCGCGTGCTGACTTGCAGCTGCGGCGGTCACGGAGCTGCGTCCGTGCCGGCGGTGAGGTGGCGGTGGTGCCTCCGCGGCGATGTGTTGCGCGCGCGCCCGCTAGCATTGGATGACGTTGGACGCGCGTCCGCCCCGCTCGCGCCGTCGTGCCGCACTCCCCCGGCCATGGTCGTCGTGACGACGGCCAATCGGTACCGACCCGTCGGATTTCCCTCTTCCGCCCTACGCGATCAGAGCTTCTCGTCACCCCCTCCACCCTTTCATCCGCCACTACGTCCATCGCCCCCTTTTCGGACCGGGGGGTTTTTTTTCTTTCCCTCG